AGGAACCCTCCCTCCCTTCCCCCACTGGCAAACACGAGGCTTTGTTCACAACTGAATTCAATGGTCAAATGTCCCTGGACAACACTTGCTTGTAAAGAGTTGACCTGTCGATTAAAAAAACAAACCTCTTTTTGCGTTTAGTGATTGACAAATACTTGACAGTCGCCATACCATGACTGGCACTTAACTGGAAATTGGATCTTAATAATAGGAAGCCTTTGTTTGTGAATGCACATATTATCTTCATGCAAATGTATAGTTATTTTTGTGTGCCTATTGAGCTCATGAATGTAGATGATACACAGGGGAGAACAATGGTACATTGAAAACTTCATCGTGTGTCATGTTGGACAAAATAATTGCTGCAACTATTTTGCGACATTTCCTTTCAATATAAACGCAGCAAGGTGATATATATTCATGAATCTGAACACATGTAACATATTGAAGGGATGGTTATTTTTGTGTTCTGTAGTCAAGTGTGTCTCAAGCAGAACATTGTTTGAATAGAACATTTCAGATGAAGGCATTGGTTCAAGCAGGTCACAATTCTCTAGGTATGAGCTACCTCGCCTAAATGGTGTGACGTGATTGATATGGTAAGCCATCTGATCATGGGAGATACCATCCGATTATCAGCTAACTCAACACACACTGGGATGTGAAGCGGTGATATTGCAGTATGCTCTGGCCCACATATGTTACATAGTCTTTACATTGGATGAACATTTTATCCCATAGAATCCTGATAATGTTTGCACGATATAGAATGTGGGACCACTACTTATCTCTCCAACATAAAAGTATAAGAAATTATACAGTGAATAAAGCACATAGCATTCACTCTTTGGACTATTTCCTTGTTCATGCTCTATCCAAATTATTTAATTAAGTATAATTTAATTCCATTTACACTATTTAGCACAAACTTCTGCAGCAGCAAAGGAAAAATCATATCTCATGCAGTATATGATTATCTTTGTCTGTGCTTATTCCTGTATCATTCAGTCATTTTCCCAATCAAGTACTTTTGAAAAAGTTAATAACAACATCTTAACATACTTATTATTTTGTGAGCAAAGTAATTTCTTGTCATCTTTGGCTGCTTTAGATGTGTTATTTGTTTTTATTTAGGCCCTTTAATTCTGTGCTCTCTCTAAATTTAAATGGCCTACTTCTAGGTATGATACTCATTTATTTCTTTGATATTTATTGTATTTGATTTTTGCCTGGATAAAAATGGGCAGCAGAACAAAGCATCTACACTACCTATGCGGACAGTATGGCTCACTGGTGTGCACTGTACATGGGTGGCATAAATAGTTCTATTCAGTTTGCTACCCACAGGATCAATATTTCATACGTGTGAAAATGAAAACCACATGTGAAATAATAGTTACCAGCTAGTCAGCAGCATGCTACAATTCATTGAAGAAAATGGGTAAGATTGCACTAGGAGCCATATGCTCATTGAAGAAAAAAACAGCATCTCCTCAATACTGATAGGTCCCAGACTTCTTTCACTCACACAGAAGACCACTATACTGGACATCATTTGTGAAACACTTTCATGAGCTATGGGTCTTAAGCACTCGTGTAAAAACTATTTTAATGTACTTCTACAGTGAATTTGCTGCTATTGATGCACCAACCTGTTTTTGATACATGTGCAAGTTAATATCTAATCGCATAGCCCCTTTTTAATGTTTCTCGTGATCTTGTTTGAGATTTGAAGGTTTTTTTCCTGAAGTGGACTGAATACACATGGTCATGGCCTCTCAAGTGCAACACATTTCATGGAACACTTCACATTCCTGGCTGCAATTTTCCTCAGTCTGCAGCCCCCCCCCACACTGAACATATTGCCCCTGAAAATATTACAATTTTTTTCTAAAATGGTAGTTTGGGATCATGGTTTGACAGTTAAATCCTTATCCATTTATTTGTAAAAGTTTTGCTTGCTTTGATTACCCTTCATTTTTTATTAATTCAGGGAAAAACACTGACATCTTGTTTAAAATACTGTATGTCATCAAGAAGCCTGCTGTCGAAAATATGGGCCTCACACTTTGACTATAAGACCCACATTGGAGTTTAAAACAGTTGAAAGGTTATACACACACTTATTGGTGGTCAACATGGTACATTGAAATTTTGAGGGGTTTTCTATCTAATTTGTTTTGCTCATGTATCTTGTTACCACTGAAAGAAGTGGCGTAATAAGAGTTCTTTACATAATAATCATAAACCTTGTGGAAAAAAATAAAGCACTCATTAATATTTAGTATAACATTTAAAGTCAGATTTAAAAAAACAAAAAATGAATTATTGCCCAGCTGTGTCAACATGTGTTCTGGGTTAAAATAGTTGCTATGCTTTGATGTATCCAATTGACTGTTTTAAATATAACTTATTGTTCTGTGTGAAAGTCTTTAGAAAGTTCCTGACATCTCCCTTGTACTAAACATCACAAGGAAGTGCAGGCCTATTTGTTTTGAAGCGATCATTGCAATAAATTTACACAATGCCTTGTAACAGTAAAAGTAATGGTAGAGCACAGGACTTGCCCAACCACGACACCCCCATCTTATGGCTTTGCCTTACAGGAATGAGCACATGGTCACAATTCCAAGTTTCACTGAACAACCAGAAAAGGCTGATCAACCATGAACTGATGCATTGACTTCACTGCAGACCTGCCTGACTTTGTCAAATACCTTACTTTCGTTTAACATCTGAACCATGCAGCGCTCTCTCTCTCTCTGCTTTGCAGTATTGTACTGTAAAGCCAGTGAGACTTGCAAGATAGACGTACATTATAGGGTGACCTTATGTCCACAATTTCCAGGGACAGCCCCTGAATGAGGTATTGTGTTTCTGGGGCCAAATATGCCCTTTCTTGATTTCAGCAGCAAACTGAACAAGAACAATAATATTCTAAACTAGATACACTCATCGGAGAAACACGACCATTACTCCGACAAGGTTTTCCAGTTCAGCCAACATCAGGAATTGCGGTGAGTTGGATTTTTGTGTTAATTATGGGTACCCCCCTGGATTTGGTTGACAAAATATGATCACCCTAAGTTTTAAGAGCTCTGAGACACGAGGGTGCTATGTAAGTGCAAGTTGTTGTTGTTGTTGTAAGTACTGTGCAAGACTGTGAGCTCAATGTGGCGAAGTCGGGCTTGAATCCAGAAAAGGTTTGTTGGGTGGGGAGGGGAAATGCTACCAGCTGAGCCAAACTGAGTATATTCCCTCATTTCTAAACCAATGTGCTGGCAAAGAGCAAACCTTCAACAACATGTTTACAAATAGAAATAGTTTAACTTATAAACAAAATGCCTTGAAACTGACACAGTCAGTCAGTTCAGTTCGGGGCAAAGGAAGAAAACACCTTTCCTTTCAAAACAGGCGTGCAAACCTTTCACCTTTTTTTTTGCAAGAAGGTGTTTTTTGATTTGCTGCAAAAATGTTTTTTTTTATTTTTTTTGCAAGAATGTGTTTTTTTTTATTATTTTGCAACAATGTGTTTTTTTTGCAACAAGGCGGTTATTTTTCTTTTAGTTTTGTTTGGAAAGTTGCAAACGTAAGAATTAATTATTGTCCCTTTCAGGAGACCTTTTGCTCTGAGCTGGGCTGGCCTGGGCTGAGTGGAGCTGGGCTGGGCTAACCTGGGCTGAGCTGGGCTGGGCTAACCTGGGCTGAGCTGGGCTGGGCTAACCTGGGCTGAGCGGAGCTGGGCTGGGCTAACCTGGGCTGAGCGGAGCTGGGCTGGGCTAACCTGGCTGACCTGGGCTAATCTGGGTTGAGCTGACCTGGGCTGGGCTGACCTGAGCTGGGTTGGGCTACCTGGGCTGAGCTGACCTGGGCTAATCTGAGTTGACCTGGGCTAACCTGAGCTGAGCTGATCTGGGCTGGGCTGAGTTGACCTGGGCTGAGCTGACCTGGGCTGGGCTGATCTGGGCTGAGCTGATCTGACCTGGGCTGAGCTGATCTGATCTGGGCTGAGCTGACCTGGGCTGAGCTGACCTGGGCTGACCTGGGCTGACCTGGGCTGAGCTGACCTGGGCTGACCTGGGTTGGGCTGAGCTGACCTGGGCTGAGCTGACCTGGGCTGAGCTGATCTGGGCTGACCTGGGCTGAGCTGACCTGGGCTGAGCTGACCTGGGCTGAGCTGACCTGGGCTGACCTGGGCTGAGCTGACCTGGGCTGAGCTGACCTGGGCTGAGCTGACCTGGGCTGAGCTGGGCTGAGCTGACCTGGGCTGAGCTGACCTGGGCTGAGCTGACCTGAGCTGAGCTGACCTGACCTGGGCTGAGCTGAGCTGGGCTGGGCTGACCTGGGCTGAGCTGACCTGGGCTGGGCTGAGCTGACCTGGGCTAACCTGAGCTGAGCTGACCTGGGCTGAGCTGACCTGGGCTGAGCTGACCTGGGCTGACCTGGGCTGAGCTGGGCTGACCTGGGCTGAGCTGGGCTGAGCTGACCTGGGCTGAGCTGACCAGAGCTGACCTGGGCTGAGCTGGGCTGGGCTGGGCTGACCTGGGCTGAGCTGACCTGGGCTGAGCTGACCAGAGCTGACCTGGGCTGAGCTGACCAGAGCTGACCTGGGCTGAGCTGACCTGGGCTGAGCTGACCAGAGCTGACCTGGGCTGAGCTGACCCGGGCTGAGCTGACCTGGGCTGAGCTGAGCTGACCTGGGCTGACCTGGGCTGGGCTGAGCTGACCTGGGCTGACCTGAGCTGACCTGAGCTGAGCTGACCTGGGCTGAGCTGACCTGGGCTGACCTGGGCTGAGCTGACCTGGGCTGAGCTGACCTGGGCTGAGCTGACCTGGGCTGAGCTGACCTGGGCTGAGCTGGGCTGGGCTGAGCTGACCTGGGCTGAGCTGACCTGGGCTGACCTGGGCTGAGCTGACCTGGGCTGACCTGGGCTGGGCTGACCTGGGCTGAGCTGACCTGGGCTGAGCTGACTTGGGGTAGGAACCAATCTCCCGCGGACAGTGCGCCGAGTCGGGAGCTGTTCGCTGCAGCACCTTTTCCGGGAAGCCGCTGTTATGGTAACAGGAGCCGAGAGAAGGAGAGAGATAAAGGGGTTGTGGATGTGCCTTTGCTCTCCCTCTGCTCCCGCTCTCATTTTGTTCCCGATTTACCGCTCCGGGACGTGCGGTGTGTGCGGACATGAACGTGGATCGCGTCTCTCTGGGCGCCGACGAGTATTTAAGTGAGTAAAACAGCTGTCACTCACTCACTCACTCACTCACTGAGTCACTCACTCATTCACTCACTCACTGAGTCACTCACTCACTCACTGAGTCACTCACTCACTCACTGAGTCACTCACTCACTCACTGAGTCACTCACTCCTCACTCACTCACTGAGTCACTCACTCACTGAGTCACTCCCTCCTCACCCACTCACTGAGTCACTCACCCACTCACTGAGTCACTCACTCACTCACTGAGTCACTCACTCCTCACCCACTCACTGAGTCACTCACTCACTCACTGAGTCACTCACTCACTCACTGAGTCACTCACTCCTCACCCACTCACCGAGTCATTCACCCACTCACTCACTCACTGAGTCACTCACTCACTGAGTCACTCACTCTTCACCACTCACTGAGTCACTCACTCACTGAGTCACTCACTCCCTCACTGAGTCACTCACTCCCTCACTGAGTCACTCACTCAGTTAATTATTCACTCAGTCACTCACTCCTCAGTCACTCATTCTCTTCAGCTTCATCCAGGCCCCAGACACCTCCCCCAATTGTCAGTGAGTCAGTTAACCCGTGTGCAGCAGAGATGTTCTTGCTTATTATTAACATAATTATTATCAATAATAATAATAATCCTTGCATCTTAAACATACATAATGCTTATATAACGATTCGTGGGCTTTTCGCAGAGGTTTTGAGACGTCACACAATGACGTGATGAGGCGCTATATCAAATACAAGGATTATTATTTATATTATTATGATGCTGTCGAGCCGTCTTAAAAGGCTTTACACAGGAGGTATGCAACTAGTGAGGTGTTGTGACTGCGCTTTTGCAACAGGAATCCGCGGCCAATTTGCGTAAAGCAATATTCCCCCCACCACCACACACACACACACACACACACACAAACACAGTGTTGCTCAGGACAGCAGGAGAGAAAAAAAACTTTCCCATCGGAGAAAAAAGTGCCTTTAACATCCACCTGAACAGGCAGATGGGGCCTCAGTTTAAGTGCAACACCTGCAAACAGGGGCTGAAAATTCTGATGTTTGAACTGCAACTTTTCAAGCCCTCAAAGAAAATTACCACATTCACAAGGGTGGTGGGGAGGGAGGGGGGGAGGGAGGGAGGGAGGGAGGGGGGAAGATTACACACCCGTTTGAATTAAAATTGCCTCTTCCCTGCCCTGAACTGACTGTCAATTTCAAATCGTTTGTTTGTAAATAAAACATTTAGAAACTTATCGAGGGATGCGAGCCATTTTGCAGCATAAATATTGGAGAACTCAAAAGTAGGGATACAGTGTTTTGTCCTGGGTATCATTGTGGGAAGAGACAATGTTGCTTATTGGAATGCAGATGTTTTGCTGGGGTTGGTAATTCTGTATGGACTTCAACAAACACTATCTATGTAAAAACAGAAATGGTGGAATCCATAGTGGCTTGTTCAGTGACTGAATATCTGCTGCTTGATAAAATGGGAATCTGGACCAGTTGGTAGCATTTCGCGCCTCTGGATCAGGAAGTTCTGGAGTCCTGTAGCTCAGTGGTTAGAGCGCTCGCCTTGCAAGCGAGACGCCTGGGTTCAATTCCAGGCAGAGGGCGAAACCTTGGGCGAGTTTCCTTACTCCACACGTCTAATAATAATCCCTCCAAAAAACCAAACAATAATAAATTGGTCATTTTCAATCCCCGACTTTTTGTGGGACACTGCTCCGCGCAATTGGCTGCCGCGTTTCGCCCACAAATACACAGTCAATTCATTTTACAGCATATTCTGTGAAGCGCTTTGAGACGTCTGGAAGACGTGAAAAGCGCTATATCAATGCAAGGATTATTATTATATTAAGTTGTGCCTTCAAGGGACTTTGAACTAATTGTCTAGAGTAGACCTGACACTTCACTGCAGAGTTGGGTGAGCCCTACACTGTCGGAAGTGCCGTCCTTTGGGAGAGACATTAAACCAGCCTTGTCTGTCAGGTGAATGTTAAAGATTTGGCACTATTTAAAGAGCAGGGAGTTTCTCCTGGCTTCCTGGTCAACAATCCTCTTTGGTCTTTCGACCTCCCAGCTTCCCCCCCTGCCCTCCACCCTCCCCGACCCCAACCCTAAGCTTGGGTCAGTAACTCTGTCTGTCCAGCGCTTTGGGATATCCTCCCGACATGAAAGGCCCTTTACAAATGTCATTTTGTTGTTGTGGGACATATCTGTATGCAAATTAGCTATGGTGTTCACTTAAATACATAATTGCTGTACTATTATTTGATAATAAATGGTGGGGAGGGGAGAGAACACTATGTATTTACTCTGGGAAAATTGTGTTAAATGTTAACACAAATGTGAAATGTTAAATGAATTGACGAAACACAAAATACTGCAGATGCTGGAAATCTGAAAGTAAAAACAGTTGCTGGGAACACTCAGCAGGTTAGGCAGCATCTATGGAGAAAGGAAAGTGAGTCAATGTTTCGGGTCCACGAATCTTCGTCAGAACTGGGGCATGTTGGGGGGGTGAGACTTTTAAGGGCTAACAGAGAGGGGGGAGGCAAGGCAAGGAAGACAAAGGAGAAAATGGGGTAAAGGGCAGGGGATGATGAGTTAAAAAGAGGTGTTAATGATGTAAAACAAAGGGGGGGAGAAAGAACTTGCAACAGAACAGGCAGATCAGGGAGAGAAAAGGTGTGTCTGGGACCAAGATGATGTAGGAATGGGGAGCTGATACATTATCAGAATTTCCAAAGCAATAGAATGAAGTGCAGGTTTTTTATTTGGTCATGTTATTTTTGTATTCTCAGTGGAGATTGAAATGGGATGTGCCCTGCTGTTTGCATTGCCAGGTATTCACATTTTTGTTTTATGGTACAGTTTTCTGTACGGGTTGCTGTGAATTACAGTCAGATCAATCATCTTCCCTCTTCAAAAGATGTCAAGCCTGTAATAAAATATGTTATCTGGTTACTAAAAAAGCTTTCAAATAAACTGGTACTTGCCAGAGGCAAGTCTGCTGCATGTCTTGGATGCTTTATCTGTTAAAGTTTCACAATTGAGTTTCTCAACACAACATTTTTTAAAAATGATTAAAATGTAACTACCTACTTTTCTTAAAACATCTTTTTCCAGGAAGTGATGTTTCTTTGATTTGAAACAGTTTCAATTGAGAGTTTCATATTTTTGCTTGATTATGTACAACAATAATAAAATTACATTTGTATCGCGCCTTTCACGTCGGGAGGATGTCCCAAGTAGACAGTGAACAGGTATTTGCTCATTTCCCCCAAGTTCGGACCATCAACTTAATTTTGCAAGTGAATCTCCTTTCTAAAAAAATAAAAACTGAGACTGCGAACCATACTGCTCTACAGCATGGTGGAGAATTGGGTCTGCCTTGGTAAAACGTTATGATAATGTTCCCCAAATCATGAGTGCTTTGAGGATAATATGGAAAGAATGTCCTTTTGAACATGGGGCTTGCTGCAGTCTTCCGCCACTTCAATCTGATGCACAGCTGCATTGAGTTTGGTGATTTGTCAGATGAGCCGCTAGGTGGAGCAGTGAGTGGGTGTAGAATATTCTGGATTAGAAGTCAATAAAACTACATTGCTATCAGGTGCCACCACTCCTGAGGCTCGGATTGTCCACCTGGAAGGCGCAATTCCTTTTATGAAGACAAAAATCTAAGAAATTTTGAATTCAGAAACTTACCCAAAGAGTAGCTAATATTTTCCTGTAATCTATATTTGTACAGTATGCAATGTTCTGTTAGCTGAATAGCAATAACATTAGAATTCTATTTTTTGGGGGGGTTGAACGCTTTCATCCAGGTTGGCTCACGGATTTCTTCATTTCATGCTTTGGCAAGTTGACTTGGAGTAAATGTATAAGTGCCAGCTAAGTTTGAGACACAATTAAATTTGCACAGAGCTCTCCATGAAACTCTATACTCCTTCTAGACCGTAGATATTTTTTTCATTGTTCATCCCTTTCAAACTTGGGATAGGATCGGTCTTGCTGCTCTTGTCTGTTCCCTCGCCAATGTTTGCATGCATCTTTTGTGCCTCTGTGACCAAAACGACACACAGTTCTCGCAAGTGTGGCCTTTGAATATTAAGTACGCACTTATTCCTCATTTTAATACATTAAAAAGTTCTGCAGGTTATGACAGGAGTAAGGAATGCATTTTTATATCCTAGCAAATGCATTTGAATTATTCTCCACGAGAGCATGAAGAAAATTGAAGCAAAAATTCCCTCTCTTCATTCTTTCTATGCTGTGGCAGGAAGTACTTCTGATCAGCTGATATTATATAAAAGGCTGGCAAGACAAACAATGAGCACCAACTGCACCAACATTTTAAAAATAAACCACTAGATTAATGCCTGGACCACAGCTAGGTCCATCCCACTAGGGACTGAAGAGAAATCTGAGAGTGTTCTCACACACTGACCAATAACTAGTAACAGCAGCATTGGGATTTGATTGCAAGACTGACCCTCAATCAGTATATAATCCATCATGGCAGGGAGACATAGGTGAGGGGAGACAATAATGATCAACATTAAACAAAACGGTGAGATAAAGCAGCTACAACAGAAGCCCCTTTGTATGGTGTGGGTAAGATCAGGAATGTGAATCGCTGTTATACAAATACGGTTTGAAGACAGATTTAAAACATATACAAATACTACGAAGAGAATACAAACATTAATAACTGCCAGGCAAAAAAAATCCTAACAAAAGAAAAAAGATTCTACCTTTGGAAAAGGTGCGGTGCAAATACACTATTGCGGTTATAGATTCTAAGCATGTATATAATAGTAATAATCCTTGCATTTGATATAGAGCTTTTCACATCTTCTAGATGTCTCAAAGCGCTCAGAATATACCGTAAAGTGAATTGACTGTATATTTGTGGGTGAAATGTGGTATAGTGGTACTTTTTAAAAAAAAACAGTAGTAGTTGTACTTTTTTTTCAAGAAAAAGCTCTTTCCCCAGCAG